GCGATTTTGGTTATCGTCTGCTTGAATGAGGATCTGTTGACTTCATTATGAACGCGCCAAGGATCCACTTCACTGTGCCTTGAAGACGGAACCTCAGAATGTTTTAGATATACTATCGCCTTCTCTCTTCACTCCCTAACCCACTCTTCCCCTCGTCAGCATCTAAACCACCCGCAGAAGAGAGAGCGCAGCCTCTGAACACTCCAATCGGTTGCTGGAACACATCACGTCGCTAACAGGTTGATGTTAATCGCAACGTCGCCCTGTTGCCAAATTTCTGACTGTAAACATGGACAGATATGAAGATTATGTAGGATTTGAGGTTCTCACACCGGTGGTTATGAACAGTTCTACCTTCTACGACATAACGCCGTGTAGTCCGCTGAATGTTAACAAACGTTTCGGAGGAAGATGTGAACTCCATCTTCAGAGTCGAAGATTAACCCAAGCAAGAAACCAGTGTAAAACCAGGCAGCAAACACAGTCACACAGCTTTGTATCCCAGAAGACAGAATTCTTCACATGAAGATTACTCTGTCGTGGAAACTGACGCCGTAAAGTTTGATAGGAAGGTACCAACCTCGTAGAGAAAAAACTGTTCCGCTACGTCTACAAGTTCATACTTTCGAGGAGACAGGAACAGACCCCATCACCGTCCCGAGATCCTCAAATCTCACATAAAAATAACAATTCATGGTCAGTGTCCCAGGGTCCTTGCTAAGTGTATCACTTGCCACCACTGCATGTCGTGTCCTCAGGTTGCGGAGGGAGGAGACGTCCTCCAGGTATGGTGAGCAGTTCCGAATATATTGAATAAGTAGTCGCGGACAACCGACAAAGCGTGGTCCTCCAGGTTGAGGGGTTGGGCGTGGGGCTTACACCTCCTCACCATAAAAAAATAACTTTGCCACGATATGTCACAAAGGCCCTCGAACTCTGCGACGGATTCTTTGGATAAACGACCTAACAGGCTTAGGATAGTGTTCAGTGGAGGGCCCTTGTGAACACGGCAATGAACATTCGGGTTCCATAAAATGTTTGGTAATTTTTAAGTAGTTCAGCAACTGGCGGCTTCTCAAAAAGGGCCCAGCTCCATGGAGTTAGTTAGTTAGTTAGTTAATTAGATAGTTAGACTTTATGACTGGTTCCAATTGTCCCTCAGTTATTTCCACAAAAAAAAAAAATTGAAACGGTGAAGACATTCCAGCAGAACCCGCAAGTTTCAGTACCAGCTGGACCTGACCGCATGGCTGCTACCCCCAAATCCATCTTCTTTTCTTCCTCCCCTGCACTCACCTACCCACAATGCTTCTGCAGGCTCAACAACTAGTAGCAGCTGTCATGCTCACACGTCACACCCACCGGCTGCGTTAGCTCACCGCCGTGCATGCCTCGACTTCCCTTCGATCCACTTTAAAGGCATAACATATGACGGACTATATAGCTGGGCTGTTAAGGGAAATGGCTATGGGCCGGACTACCGATATTCGATTCCTGGCAGGGGCCAAAGTTTCGTTTCAGCACTGTGTCCAGACCATGTCGAGGTCACGAATGCGTGGAGCTTTACCTCCACTCATCGTATATGTCTATCCGAGGTGGAGAATAATGTCTTTTCATATGCGACCCCGTGTAGTCTGGAATATCGTTAGCAACGTTTCGGAGGAAGCTACTGCTTCCATTTTCAGGATATAAGAGGAAGAAAGTGATACGGATGTAAGGGGACAGAGTTCTCTCTTCTAACCTGAAGTCGGCCCGAACTACACGGCATCACATCCCACAATACGTTAATATCTTCGCATTTATCGCTGTGAGAACCTCCAATCTCACAATTCACTCTCTCTCTCTCTCTCTGTATTGGACCCGAGGGTCTCACAAGAGTGACCCGTGTAAAGCGCTGCCTTCTGGGTCGGGTAGAAGTGGACCCACTTCGCATTCTGACGGGCAGTGCGGGACCCAGAGCCGCAGCAGGCGGGGGAAGGACTCGGTCCCACGGATGCTGAGCCCCGGGCCCGCTGAATTACGCAGCAATACAAGGGGCGGCCTTCAGCTCTCGTGTTTGTGCAGCAGTTAGCGTCGTTAGAGCAGGAAAAGTTTCGCGTCTGCGATGGCCCCTTCCCCCTGCTTCAGGTTTCCTTCCAACAGTTCGTTAAGGACGACTTTTAATTGACACACACACACACACACACACATATACACACCTCAAGTATTTCTCTGCACACTTCTGGGCCTCATGCCACTGCCTTTTGGACACCATTCTGCGCTTGCGCGGAGCAGACCAGGCAGTAAAGTTTCTAACGTGTTTTGGGGATGTGACCGGTTCGAATCTCGGCCAGTATATCGATCATCCTCAGTGAAGTATTTCGTGTTTTTCCTCAGGAATAATTCTACTTTTTAGCTGGGGTAGGGGGACTGAGTCCACTTGGTACGTCGGACACTAATTGGCCTATTGTACCAGCGCTGGGTGGTAGATGATGAGTGTGGAGCAGTCGGTGGAATGAAAATTGGCAGGGGAAACCGAAGTACTAGGAAAAAACCTACCCCAGTGCCACACTGTCCACCATAAATCTCATATATCCTGGCGTGGGGCTTACCCGGGCCGCCGCAGTGGAAAGACAGCGACTAACAGTCTGAGCTATGGTACGGCCTTTCCTCAGGGATAACTTTCCCATTTATTTTTACGTACAGGAACATGGGGAGTTTCCAGGATGGACGGCCCATGAATATGCTCAGAGCATAAGTCTAAGACTAATCTTAGTGATCGCCCCAGAGCGATCTGGATACAAAAGTACACTTTTGAAAATAATATAAGTAAATATTAAGCTATCCTTGCCTCAGGCCGTGTTGGCTCATAGGGCTGTGAGACGTCGAGGCTCCCACATTTTCTCTAGACACTTGGCTTACAGATGGAAGTGAGGTTATCAGCCTTGCGTGCCGGCCGCCCTTTACCCCCAGGAATATTTCTGGTACTCATTTCTGTTAGAGGCTGAGTTGAACCCAGAGTCATAGTGCGGCTGGAAAGATTAGCTAAATTGAAAAAAATCCACCTCACTGGGGACTCGAATCTGCGACCTTCCGGCTTGTAGCATAGTGCCTCAACTAACTACACTACTGTGTGTCCCTGCAAATAATATAAACATCTGGTATCAATTACTGGATGATAGTCTTCCTTTTTCAATATTTTTCTTCCAAAAATCAGAGGATGTGCAGTTTGTGGCCATCCCTGCCGATGTCCATGTGGTGTAACCGAAACAAATCGCCACGAACATGCCATTGGGTTCAGACTGAGACCTGGGGCTGTAAGTTCAGGAGACACAAACATAAAGTAACCGCGGGAACAGCTAAAATTATAAACAAATAAACTGAATTTTAGGTTCTCACAGGTGTGGCTATGAAGAGTTCTGAGATGGGGCGCCGTATAGTCTGGCAGAATTTCACTAAGGGACAAACCGTCTCCATCTTCATGGTAGAAGATATGCTTAGCAAGCAAGAGGCAAGCAGCTGTGCGGTGCGTGCAAAACTTGGTCTCGATGTACAAGCTGGGTAGGGGCCGAAATATAACCAATAACAGTAAAGGAAAGTAGCCTTAGGAAGGGCCACATTTGCGACAGAATAAGGACAGACGAGCAGGACTCCGCGTCCTACACAAGGGGATGTCTGGCCTCGCTACACGCTGAACTGGAATTCATTGCGGCCTCAGTTTGCCAACCCCTGACTGTCAAGTTAAAAGGCTGCTCCAGCAGTGGTGACTTGGATGCAGGGTTCGCGCTGCAACTCCTTCATATGCGTTGAAAAATCGATACTCGACCACTATATCGATATGTATACTGCTCTTAACGAAATCTTCTTTGCCGCTGTTTCCATGGTTACGTACAGTTTGTCGTCGCAGCGAATTTATTTGCTGACAGATGACAGAAAAAGTTTCTTTCACTTAATTCCTCAAAACCCTAATAAACGGAGACAAAAGGTCCACCATAGCTTTTGACAAGGTATCTAGTAATGACTACTCACAGTCCCCCCTCTCCTCATTTTCTGACCAGATTCATTCGGCTCGAATGAAGACATTTCAGGGGGAAGGGGCTGAGCCCACAAACACGACCCAGCTGCTCTTGGAAAGTGAGAAGCATTTGATGTACCTAATTGCCTACTCGAAAGCCATATTGCTGTTAGTGATTCGATAATGACGTGAAGGGATGACGTCACTGTGCGCGCGCGAATCACAGGCCGTATTGCAGAAGGATATTGTGGACATGGTATCGCTTACGTAATTACGCCATGATGAACGGTGTATATTCCGCTACAGGAGAATTGTAATATCCACAGCGATCCACAGTTCATCTGCTTCTGCTGCAGGAAGGTTTCTGCGCTACTCGAAAGTGTCTACACAGGACCGCGTCTCTTGAAGCCTCTTTCAACTCTGGCCCTTTAAAGCCAAATGGTCACTATATTCACCACGTGTTCCAGCATACCAAAACTCTGCACTCTGCCCACAGACTGTATTTGTGTGTTTTGTAGTTCTCGCAATAAACGGTGGCTGTTTCCCTAAACAGCATTAACCGGTTGGGCTTTCCAGCGAAGACGTAATGTTTCCTGTGAGGTACGGACTGGATTTGTATATTATTTAGAAAAAATGAAGTTTTTGAAGGGTTAACATTTGTACTGATACTGAGATGCTGGTAGTCAATAAATTCCTCATCTTTTATGTCACCCAAAGGTACATTACCGTGCTCACAAGAACCTACCACGCGTCCCTATCCTAAGTTAAACCCTGTTTGTTTATGATCCTTTTTAATATTATGCATTCACCTCTAGGTCTCCAAAACAGTCTCTTTCCCCATGGAATTCTGACGACAAATGTGTACCTGCATGCACTTCTCGTCTCCATGCATACTACATGATCCGCCTATCTCATCATACCAATACTATGGTAAACGGCGAAGCTCCTCATTATGCACACAGTGCGAGGCACTAGTCTAGTGAGCATATAGTGCAACCGGACTTACCTTCTTCTCTCTCCGGGGGTGATCTGGAAGGGAAACCTCATGCCTCCGTGGTGGTGATGGTGCGGGGGTGGCGGCGGCGATCCGGGGGCAGCCGTCGTGACAGGCACCGGTACAGGTACTGGGGGTGGTGGAGGCGGGTGATGCACCACATGTCCCGGAGGCGGGAGTCCGAGAGGCAGGGTGGAATACGGAGGAGGGAGATGCGAGTTCAGTATATCTGGCAATCTCTCCCCTCCGCCAGCTGCTGGGGGTGGCTCCGCCACTAAAGTCTGCCAATGTGTTTCGTGTTGAGGAGGGTTACTGTTGTTGGCGCGTCGCTGGTGGCGCCTTTCCCGGCGCTCGCGACGCCTCTGTTCCCTGTTGTTGTTGAGGGGTGTCGCGGGCGCCACCCCTATGTCGTCCGTCTGGGCCTCTGTGGACGTGAAAGTCCTGCCCCTGGCAGCACTGACACCCGCCTCGACGTTGACATGTGACACGTTGAGGCAAGATATTGTTGGCACTGCAGACACTACAACTGGCACTGCGCGGTAACAACTCACGACACTGACACTACTACTACTCGTCACTGCACCACTACCACTAGCACTAACACTGGGAGGCCCATCCGCGCCAGCCACATTCACCAACATCGTGGCCGCACTCGACTCGCACTGACTGCAAGCCTGCCAGCACAACTCGCAGCGGTCCGGCGACTGCAGCGCTCCTGGTGGACCCGCTACAGCCCAGCGCGTATGGAGGTCAGCAACCGCATCCTCCCTACGAGATCCTTCTTCGTCTTCATGTTGATTTGGGTCGGCCGTGACGTTGCCAATTGTATTACTGCCACAGCTGGAGCTGACATCTACCGGTTCTGACCGCAATTCGCTTAGCTTCAAAGCATTGTTACTGCACGGTAACGACGTTGTCAAATCTTCGTCTTTACTGCTACTGTTGGACAGAATGAGAGCCCTCAGGGACGAGCTTGAAGGGTCCCTGGCGTCCCTGTTCCACAAATGTCCATCACCGGAAGTACCCATGGCGCTGACCAAAGCCGATGAAGAATATGATGATATAGACAACGTTGATGATGATGAAGATGATAAGTGTGCTGTCCTCATTACACGAGGATATAACCACACTGAAACGTCGCCTTCGTCAACTGCACATCCGCTCCCAAATGCTGAGTGCTGTGGGGCAGAATTTTCTGGTTGTCGGCAATCATATGGTTCCCAGAGTAGCGACGACAGCGCCTCTTGGTAGTCGCGGTGGTACGAATAATTACTACTGGTACATACGTCGCCGGAAGGATCTGTCTTTCGTCGCCTCCAGACGGCGTCGTCTCTCCGCCTAACGTTACCATCAAGTAACCAGCTGGACCTAACAGGCGTCTCCATATGCCTTTTCAGTGTTTCTGGGGCGTCCGTGTGCGCCCCTGATTTCCTGTTCCGTTGTTCAGCTGTTCCGAAGTCGCAGTTCTCCATAGAAACGGTCAGCGACCTTCGCAGTTCCTCCGACCTTTGAACATTTCCGTTAGAAATGTGAAGCGACTCCCTGATAATAGCGTCGGGTCGTTTCTGTTCCTGATTGTTGTCGACCGGTGACCGATTCCTGCAGTTGTCGCCGCAGAGTTTGAAATCGCGATACGAGATTTTCGACTGCCTGTTGTCAACGGCGAGGGGAGAACCGAGATCAAAGCCTTCGTTTTCGATTCCAGTGTCGTTGTGATGGACGCTAAATTTCCCGACGAAATTTTCACTGGATCGCTTTTTGTTTCGCTTTTCGTCATCCGCCTCCTCTTCGCCATCTTGGCCAGTTTTGTCCGGGCTGATGAGTTGCACTGTTGACAGAGGGCGACCTCTGTCACTAACAGCTCGATACGTAGTTCCAGCAGCTGAGGCAGTTGCCGCCATGGTTAGTACCTCGTGAGGTATCAGTTATCACGCCATGATGTCCGGCGATGCTGGTGGCCCTGGAAGAAAGAAAATTTCTTTTGTTGAGAAATATTAAGAATCGAGTCAAATAGAATTTTGTGCTTAGTACTGCTTCGACAACAGATCAATCGCTACAGTTCGAAGACCGCTCTGATACGACATGAAGAAACAGTATACATGAGTACACATATGCACCGAAGCCGCTAACGAGGAATTATCTCTGTGCTTACTTAAGCATCGTCAGTGTACAGACTAGTGGAAGGATAGCGCCATAAATTCCTCGACCTCGACTCCCGGTATAAGACCCAGCCAGGAAGGTGACTGGGTCCCAGAGCCAGTCTGGACGTTGCGGAGAAACGAAGAATATCTGACTTCGCCGGGAATAGAACCAAGTAGCCCATTCAGTAGCTTGGTCACGATATTGACTGAGCTGTCTAGATTCCGTTTAATGTTCTCTATCTGCACTTATTTCCAAATGCGCTGTTGGTTGCGCCGAATCTAATTTTCTTGTTTTTTGCGCTTGGCTAAATATAGCAGCCCCGTGGATAACTGGGGACTAATACTCGGTTCCTCTGAACACATGTAAGGAAGATACGTACAACTTGAGGTTTCACTACAGTCGGTTTAAAGAATTTGAACATCGGAACAAGAAGTTTTGTGTGTGTCTACTCGGTGTCTTATCTGCCGACGCGGCATTGCTCGTGTTTCAGACACACCATTGTCTGCAAACCTGTAACCTTGGAAACAATACGCTTACGCTATCTTGTGAGCGTTTCTAGAACAATAGCTGAGCCTTATCAAGCAACTCTGTCGTAACAATGAGGTTTTGTGCAGTTTCTGCATTGTTTAGTATCGAAGCTCGGAATTTTCTTTAAATTAGTATAAACTTCAATTAAATACGTAACTGAATCGGGAGTTAACTTGCAACTCGTGTTGCAGAACGTGTTAAAACAAAAAGCCCAAGTATGCTGGAGTGAAAATGGTTCGGAGTTCACTACTTCCGGTACACGTGCTCGTACACATCAAATGACAGACCTGGAATGCAAGAAGGAGAGCCAGTAAATAGGTCAGAAATGGGAGTAAAACAGCTGTAGAGGACGTAATGGGTTTTCTATTTGTATCACTAGGTAGTAGCACAGTCGAACTTTATGATGGTTTAAGTACCACCCGCGCATGCGCATATTTCAGTAGTCAAAATGGCGACCGTTTAAAAATAAATGTTTTTTCCAGGTTCGAATCTCCTTTGTACCTTTTATAGCAAATTGTGACCTATTTATTGGGTCTCCCTCTTACGTTATGAATTCGAGTTTTAGAAAACAAAAGTGCCGTCCAGGATGCCCTGGAACGGACTTCGCACTTCACATCTCAGCTACTCAAAATATGTACGGAAATACAAGAAATGGCCGAATTACTGGGTCTTCGCGGTGAATAATAACACTAATATATTCTGGAGGTGTGACGTATATTCTGGTAGAAATTTCTACCCTGAACATGGAATCAGCAGATTCCTCCGAAAAGTTTCTTTCTACCAAATTGAATTTCAGATTCTCACAGCAGGTTTTCTGGGATGCAAAGCTGTGTAACCTAAGTCAACTGACGTTTCGGGAGAACATCGCCTCCAAAAGTATGCTTGCTGTCTGCTTCATGCCGATTTCTCGTTTTGCTTACATTTCAACCCTGAAGACTGAGACGATGTTCCTCCGAAACATCGGTTGACTTTCAAGGGGCTACACGGTCTTAAATCCCACATGACAGAATTCTACGTATGTAGCTCGTTGAGGCGGTAGCGTTTCTGATTTCTACTCTGCCGGAGACTAGTTCGGGAAAATAACTATTTTTTTAATGCTAGTGGGGTGGGATTGGCATGTAGTGTCTTCGCTCTCTTGGAAACCGGGATCGTGGGTTCGAATTCCACTCAGGGCATGGATGTTTAGTTTGTGTGTGTGCGTCTTTCTGTGTTTTTGTACAGGTAGAGGCCTTGCGACGAGCTGATCACCCGCCCAAGTAGTCCTACCGATTGTGTAAGGTCTACAAAAACCGAAGTGAACGGAGAAGTTCATAGAGGTAGGCCTAGGCCCACTGGGACTGTAGTGCCAAGGAAAAAAAAAAGTGGGGTGGGACTAAGTCCCTTGTACTGCGGTCACTTCTGGTACCAGCCCCAGATGCTAGGTGAGGGTGATTGTGGAGCAATTGGTGGAATGAAGATTGGCAGGGAAACCGAAGTACTGGGAGAAAACCCGAACCAGCGCCACTTTGTCCACCACAAATCCCACTTGACCAGACCCGGAATCGAACCCGGGCCGCCACGGTGGGAAGCCAGCGACTAACCGCTTGAGTTATGGCGCGGCCGAAACGTCAGTGCCAATCGATAGTTGAATTAGAATATTTATCTATGAAAGCAGTCTCAGTGAAGCATTTCAAGCGGCTGTAGCGTGCACTGCTGCACGGAGAGAGACCGGTCTGTTCCAAGTCCGGCAGGCTAATTAGCCTAATTAGGCTAATGTTTATAGAAGCACGGGAAAACCCACGGACTGATGAAAAATGAATACGTTAACAGAGGAGCAAGAGGGGGAGGGCTCCGGAGAATAAATAAAGTTGTTTACAGCGGGCCGCTCGTTTCATCCCCAACTCTAAGCTGAAACTTAGGGTACGTTTAAACAGAAATGAGTTGAGTGTCCCACTGAAATGCAGGTGGAAGGCCCCGCGCCTTGCGTCTCGATGAACCGAACTACATTTCCAGCTTCCTTTCTGTACAATTACAGATAGGTACCAACCTGCTGCCTCCATCTTCAGGGTAAATTCCATCTTTTTATGACAACGGTAATAGGTACCTCTGGAACTTAGGCACCTCCCAACCAAACAACAGGAAGTCACCGAGCAGGTTAGCATAGCGGTAACGCTCTAGACTTGTATTCGAGAGGCGTGATGTTCGAATCTAGGTGGGGACACCGGCAATCCCCCTAGTTTTTCTCAAAATTTTCCTCAGTCACTCTAGGTAAATTCCGAGATATTATCTTAATTAGGCCACGACCGCTTCTTTTCCAACTTATCATTCCACGCTATATAGTTTGAATGCTGCAGCGTCGTAAAATTACCGAAATTTCAGAGGAGCCTGATGCCTACCGCTTCACGGCAAATCCTCTCAATCATGAAGGTGAAAGCAACCTGTTTCTCCGAAACATTTGTACTTCCCAACCAAACTAGACGGCATCACATACCAGAACACTGCCTCAGTACAGCTTGAACAGGGGGTTATGGTTCGATTGCCGGCACGAGCAATAGAGTTTTCTCTCTTTCACATTACCAGGGAAGCAACCAACGGTCACCAGGAGATTCCTTTCTTGGGATAAATCGGTCAAAGCGTGAAGCTGACTACTCACCTAAATCTTAGTGCCGAGGAATGCGTGAAATTATACCTCAATTCCCCCATACATCTTCATGACACGTGCCGTCACAATTCCTGATTTCAGGGACTTTATGGAAATGGCGTCGGTTAAATATATTCATTGTTGTGCTTAATCATTTAGAACCGAATGGTTACTTTATGTATCACCCGCTTTAACTTATAAAGCTCTACAATCTGCCCACAGAGTGCGTCTGTGTGTTCCGTATGGTTCTCACAATAAACAGCGACTGTTTCCCTAAACAGCATTAACCGGTTGTGTTTCCTGTGAGGTACGGACTGAACTTTTATGCATTACTTAGGACGCGTTTAGTCTTCAAAGGTTAATTCAAGTCTGTATAGCACTCCCCACTGAAGTTCAATTTCCAAGTATCGCTCCACTTCCGGGCAGTGAGTACCGGAACTCTCGCGACGCATTGAACATAATCGATATATCGATGTAATTTGTTACTGTATACTGAAAAGTGTCAGCCGGGCCGCGCAAAAGCTCCACGACTCTTCTGATGTTTATAAATGGACTCCAAAAAGGGAACGCGTGTTGCGCCAAAACACGACAGTTCCCTTTCATCCTGTCACAATTTCCATGCCAGCCAATGAAGATATTAAAAGATAAAACCGATCTGTGTTCAATGTTTGGTCTGCTCACTCGACTCGTAGCCCCCTCCACGCTGCCCACAAGCCATCCCATATCACACGGGACAAACAAAAGACCGTGATGGTCTGCTCTTTCCGACGGGTCATGAAAGTGGGACATTACATCAGAATTCGTTTGGGGCTGAGCTCTCCTCATGAATATTGAGCAGGAATTCAACTCAAGCGAAGGATTAATCCTTTGTTAATGTCCAAAAGGAAGCTCTGGATGATGACTTGTCTTGTGGGATGTGAAGCCGTATAGTTTGGCAGAAACTTCTTGATCCTTCGAAGGACCGTACTGCCTCCGTCTTCACGATCCTTAAATAAAACGCATAAGCAAACATTCAAGCAGGAGGAAGTCGATATATTTTTGCTAGACTACACGGCGTCGTACGCCAGAAGATGGTATCCTTGACGCTGATCGTTTTGAGATTTTCAAATCTCAACGAGTGATATGGTATTCGAAAGGTATTGTTTACAGCCCTAATATTTTATCGTTCTATTCCCATTGTTAAGAAGTCTTGATAATTCAGTAAGTATAGTAACTTGGCTACTAGAAGACGACTTGAGTACAGGGGTTCGATTTCTGACATTGACAAACATGCTTCCCTTTCCCACAGCGTTCAGACTAGCTCTGGGGCCCAGCCGGCCACTCATCCAGTGGATAATCTACCGCTAGGAACGCAGGACGTCAGAAACTGAAGGTAAGTTTTCTTCATGCTTAAACAAGCGCTGTGCAATGAAGGCTTACGGCTAGTAGAGATGTAACTCCACGTATACGTGACCTCGGTACTAGACGGAGGTGAGTGGTCAGCCTCACGCCCTCGCTGTATTATCCCTCAGTACAGATTGGACAAGAGGCTCAGTGGAAGCACAGCAGGTGTGGACACTGTGGAGAATAGAAAAACCTCTCCTTCTTTTCGGGAATCGAACACCAGTTCCTCGGGTATCCAGCCTGTAA